AGAACAAGCTTAGCAAAGCACAGGGACCGCGGTTCAATCCCCCAGCACCACATGCCAGCCAGCCCTGCCCCCTGGTGGGCTGAGCTGGCCCCCCCACCAAATAAATAAATAAAATTAAAAAAAAAAAAGTGGTGCCAATCTCCTTTTTAAGCTAACTATTCTTTAGAGAACAGAAGAAACATGATGGTGATATTTTTATTGTGTTCTTACTTAGATTGAGATATTTATTTGTTATGTCGTGCTAGGGATCAAATGCGTACTAAGCAAGTGCTCTACTATTGAGGTACACCCTTAGGCCTTAATTAGAGTTTCTTTTGGGACCGTATGTACCAAAATTTATATACCACTGAACATGAGAAGCAGGGTTAAGGAATCCTACTATTGTAGTAAAAGTGATAATTGTTTCTGTCATGTTTACCTTAAGACTAAATTTGTTACTTGACTTACAAATAAGCTCATGTTGGCCAGGTGTGGTGCAGTATGCTGAGGATTCCAGCTGCTTGGGAAGCTGAGACAAGAGGATTGCAAGTTTGAGGCCCACCAAGGCAATTTAGTGAGACCCTACCTCGAAAGAGCCAATGTTTAGTATATTATCCCAGCTACTTGGGAGGTTAAGGCAGGAGGCTCACAAGTTACAGGGAAGCCTGTCACAAAATAAAAAGGGCCAAGGATGTCGCTAATTAATCCAGCACCCCTGAATTAATCCCTACTGTCACAAAAAAAGGGAAAAAAAAGTTGATCTTAATTTAATAATCTCTAAACCTGTAAGAGGAGCATTGGAGAAGCCTGAGTGAATTGAGATTAGTACTGGAACCAATATTGATTTAAGGTGTTACCTTTGTGACCTTGCATACCTTAGTTACCAGTGTTACTTATTAGAATCCTGGAAGTCTAGGGCTTGGTATTTATAGTTTAGTGTAGAACACTTGCCTAAGCTGGTACACGCCCTGGTTTCAATCCCCAGCATCACTCCCCATCCCAGTCATAGATGTCTAAAGCTAGAATGGACATTGTCGGGCTGGTGAGATGGCTCAGTGGTCTAAAGCATCTACTTAGAACAAGCTTAGCAAAGCACAGGGACTGCGGTTCAATCCCCCAGCACCACATGCCAGCCAGCCCCGCCCCCTGGTGGGCTGAGCTGGCCACACACACACACACACACACACACACACACATAAATAAATAAATAAAGAATGGACATTGTCTTACTTTGCCTGTTCAGAAGCCCAGAGTGACAGTAACTACCAGCAGTATTGTGGTGCTAACAAAGATGGTTCTAAATGCTTTATTCGCATTTCTAGTTTTCTGTTGACTTTTTCTGTACCTTCCTGCACAATTTGATGAATTCGGTGCCATTAGGCATTTGCACTCAGCTTAGAAACTGTCACCAAATCCCTTGCAAATGTATATTGTTTTACATGTGTCAGATGATGATGGGTACTTCAGTGAATAGAAGAGCAAATTACTACTGTGTGAAGTATAGCCTAAGCTTTCTCAAAATGCTGTAAAGTTAATACTTAAACAGCCTTTAAAATGATCATTGATTTAAAGGCCTTATTTAGTCAATACAATCATTAAAGGCACAGCTTATGAGTTGGCTTCATATTTTTCTTTACAAAAATTTAGTATCTGGCTTATTTTTGTTTCTGTAGAAAAACCCTCACTTTAATGCTTACACAACAGTTAGCATACTAAAAGCATTTCACCTTGTTAAATTGATAGTTATATAGGTGATGTTGAGGTATGATAAATTGGTTGTTAATCAGCTTTAAAGTGTATGAGGGCTGGTGAGATGGCTCAGTGGTCTAAAGCACCTACTTAGAACAAGCTTAGCAAAGCACAGGGACCACGGTTCAATCCCCCGGCACCATATGCCAGCCAGCGCCACCCCCTGGTGGGCTGAGCTGGCCACACACACACCCACACCCCCACACACATAAATAAATAAATTTTTTTTAAAAAAAGTATATGAAAATATACTGAAAATATGTGGTAAGATTTGTACAGATCTTAATGTGCAGTATTTTAAATTATCAGGTGACTATGCAGAGGGAATAATTTGTCGCTGGTCAACTGTGGGAAGCAGTATGACCTGAGACTAGAGTCAAAGCTTATCAAGAAGCTGTCTTCTTTACAAGAGAGCAAGGCATTTTTTCATTTACTCTAAGGAGGTTTTTTTTTCTTTCTATAGGACAATTTTGGTTATTTTGTTTTTAGTCTTTAGGAGGTTTTGAGAGCTTGTGAAAAATTATTTAACTGAGTATCACAGTAGCAATCTTCCTCAGTTTTGTAGCTGTGAAAATAAAAGCTCAGAGGGAGCTGGGTGTGGTGGCACATGCCTGTAACCCCCACCTGCTGGAGGATGAGGCAGAAGGATCCTTGTTCAAGCCCAGCCTGGGCTACATAGAGAGTTCAAGGCCAGCCTGAACCACATCGACCCTGTCTCAAAACAATACCCTCATAGGTATCCAGTATCGAAGAGCTACGTGCTACCATAATTAGGAAGGATTTCATTCCCAAGTCTCTTCCATTGTTTTCTTTCTGTTGTTTTTGTATTTTGTGTGGTTTTTTTTTTTTTTTTACGGAACCAGGGATTGAACTCGGGCCCTTGTGCTTGCCAGGGAAGCGCTTATTCTACTGAGCCATCTCCCTGGCCCCTATTGTTTTCTCTCTGAAAACTTAAACAGCACTTACATTAGCTCTGGCATCACGCTGTGTAATTCTTTTAGTCAAATATAAAGTTAGAAATATGAATTCTGGAATAATTTTAAATAAAACTTAATTTAGGTAAAAGGAAAAGGTGCATCTGGAAGTTTCGTTGTGGTCCAGAAATCAAGAAAAACATCTCAGAAATCCAGAAACAGAAAGGTAAGAAACCTATACCAGAGTTTGAGCACTGAAGTACTGTTCCTAATAAAGGTAGCAGCATTCATTAAGCTTTTACTGTGTGCTTGCCACTATTCAAAGTGCAGCCTTTCTACTAAGGTCTAGAGAAGTTGTAAGCAATTTGCCCAGCTAATATGTAGAGTAACCATGTTGCAGATCCTAGTACTCCAACCCAGTTAAGCCCATGGTCCTAAATGCTTTACTTTGAATTATTGGCAACTGTATTGATCTATTTTTAGTAAAATATCTTTTAAACTAGAGGAGGTATGTAAGTATAACTTACCCAACACTAGGTGTAAAACCTCTTTAGAGCCAGTCTTAACCTCTCTTTATAAATATTAGTATCCCCCTCTCAAAAACACATTTCATTTATGTAAAGTTTTCCTGCAGTAATAAAGTGAAGTGCTTATTCATCTATGTCAGTAATTATCATTAAAATTCTTCTGTACCTTTGTTTTTATAACTGTGATGGGTTTTGTCCTTTTTTATTTTTTATTTATTTTTTTATTTATTTTGGCAGAACCGGGGATTGAAATCAGGTCCTTGTGCTTGCCAGGAAGCACTTATTACACTGAGCAATCTCCCCGGCCCTGTCCTTTTTTAAATAAAACTTTTTTTTTTTTTTTTAAAGAGAGGGTCTCACCACCATTTCTAGGCTGTCCTTAAACTCACTGTTCAGCTCACGCCCAAACTTATGATGGCCATCCTCCTGCTTCAGCCTCACAAGTGCTGGGTTTACAAGCATGCAAATTTAGCCACCATGCCTGGATAAAGTTTTCTAATATTTTAAATTTTTGTGTAGTGTTATCTGATGCTGCACTTCATTCTTTGTTACTGAAGGCTAAGACTGAATCAAGAGCTTTAAAGTCTGTTCTTTATATTTTTAATATTCTCAGTGGGAAATTTTTATCTGAAAGAAATTACCATGTAACTCACATTCACTCCACTATGGTATGTTTTGTTTTTGGTGGTATTGGGGATTTGAACCATGTACTCTGCTGTACTAGGCAAGAGCTGTGCCTCTGAGTTACATCCCCAGCCTGGTATGATTTATTTGAAGGTGGAAAAAATGTAAGTTTTCCACGTGCCAGTTGATTTGGCAGTCAGCTAAGGAAACCTTTGTTATAGGTAGAAACATAAAGACTGAAAGCTCTATAATCTGTAGTGACCATAACTTTTGTTATTATATTTCAGAAGAGGAGCTCTGCAGTGGATCCAGAACCACAAGTGAAATTGGAGGATATCCTCCCACTGGCCTTTACTCGCCTTTGTGAACCTAAGGAAGCTTCCTATAGTCTTATCAGGAAATACGTGTCTCAGTATTACCCCAAGCTTAGAGTGGACATCAGGTATTAGCCGTTCACCTAGATTTTGCAATATGATGTGCTAGTTCCTTAGCTCCTTTCTTCATAAAATGAAACCTTTTTTTGGTGTTTTGGTTTTGTTTTGGCCCCATTATGTTTTCCTTTTCATTTCATATGAAGGTTTTTAAAACCAAACTATGTAATTCTTTTTTATATGATCTTTGCTGGAGTACAGTTTACCTGTGATGAGTGATCATTTAAATTGTCACATTAGCTCAGGTGTGGCTTCAAGCAGACATTAATTTGTTTAAATTTGCAGTTTCTAAAGTGTTGTGTTTTAAGTGTGTTCATGGAAGATCTTTATTGTGATAATAACTGTATTTAATTTGGAGAACTGCATTTAATCCAGAGTTCTTTCTACAGAAGATTATGTAATGCACATTGTCTTGGTTTGGTTTAATGCTGCTATTTATATTAAATAACATTTTCAGAGTACCACTTAGTAGTGTTTGTACTACTGGGAATTAAACCTCAGGAGTGCTGATCTAGGTCCCCAGCCTATTCATTCATTCAGAGATAGGGTCTCACTGAGTTGTCCAGGTTAGTTTCAGTCTTTGTCCCTCAGTCAGAAGGGTTGGCTAAGATTTACAAGTATGTACCACCATATTCAACTTTCGTAGTGTTCTTTGTATCCAATTAAGAGTACACAATTAAGAGTACCAGTTTTGGGTCTGTGAGATAGCTCAACTGTCTAAAGCACTTGCTTAGGCAAGCACAGGGATTGTGGTTCATTCCCTGGTACCACATGCTGCCCAGCCCCACCTCCAGGACAGGCTGAGCCAGCCACAGTCCAGGCGTAGTGGCGTATACCTGTAATCCCAGCACTGGGGAGGCTGAAAACAGGAGGATCACCACAAATCCGAGCTATGTAGTGAGACCTTGCAAAAACCAAATACGTTTTTTTAAAAAAAGAATACCAATTTAAAAAAAAAAAAAAAAAACCTAATAAAAGACTTAGTGAAGTATTGCAAAAGAAATGGAAATCATGTAAGCAGAAATTTTGAAATTCTTATGCTTTAAGTATGATGGTAGGGATCATACATAACTGTGGACCAGAAAAACATTGTAAGACTCATTTAATGGTAGAAATATGTTTCACATTTAGCTATTTACTTTTTGGTGACTAGAGACCATAACCTCAACTTTTTGCTTTTGCTTTTTGTTTTTGTTTTAAACCTCACTATGTAATCGAGGCTTAGCTTGAATTCAATGTATAACCCTGAGCAATCCTCCTGCCTCAGCCTTCCCAAGTACTGGGATTATAGGCATGTATCACTAAGCCCAGCTTAACTTTGTGTCTTTCAATAGTGAATTATCAACTCAAAGATACCAATGAACCTGAAGACCTTCCATGATGGTTTTTAATGGTAACATTTTCCTTTGAAATGGTCCCCCCATCAACCATACTGATTTTGTTTATCTCTGATCACACTACTGTCGTTTGTACATTTAATGTGAAATTCAGTCATGCTTGCTTGGCCAAACAGAAGAGTAAGAAAGGGGTTTATCAGGCCAGGTGTGGTGATGCATGCCTATAACTAGTCACTCAGGAGGCTGAACCAGGAGGATTGCTGCAAGTTTGAGGCCAGCCTAATTGCATAGCGAGGCCCTGTCTCAGAAGGACCACACACAAAAAAAGAAGTGAATGAGTTGTCAGGGATGGGAATGTGGCTCAGTTGTAGATCACCTGCTTAGCATTAGTAAGGTCCCAAGTGTAATGTGTTACTGTAAAACTAAAGCACCCTTTAAAAAAACATATATACAATGAATTGTCTGTATGTATTATCTATAATTTCTTTCTTTATATTTTCTTATAAGCCCAAACCTTACACCTCCCCCAGCTTTGCCTGAAATATTTTTTCCTTTCATCATCAGACTGACATAGCACATTTCAGTAATAAACTGGTAGTTCTTGTTGCCTTCTCATCAGCGTTTGGCACATTGACTCCCCTGTAATTGATACATTTCTTCCCTTCCTTTCCAAGATACTACACCTTTTTGATGTCTTACTCCAGCCTTACTGCCCCCTCTTCTCTTAAGGTTTCTGCTTCAGTTCTTAATGTAAAGGTGCCTTCTCTACTGCAGCTTAGGCCTCGTTTTTTTTCTCCATACCTGTTTGATAATGCTTTACACTTGTAAAGCTTGTAAGTACCACCTGTACACATGTATAAATTCACAAATATTTAATCTAGCCCATATCTTTCCTCCAACCCGATGTATATACAGGTACTTGTTCAACATTACCACTAGGTTGTCTTAACTTATATGTCCAAAATTGAACTCTTGATTATTATCCCCATCCCCTCAGAAAGCACTGTACCTCCATCCTAGTTAATGGGGACTCATCTTTCCAGTTGCTCAAACTAGGAAATCTATCTTTATGCTGATAACATTTCATATGTATGTCTAAATCTATAAGCAATTATCTCGACTTTGTTTTTAAAACATATTGTTAAACAGACTGTTTGCTATTACCTCTGCTGTTACTCTTTTCCATTCCACCATTCTACCATCATCTGTTCTGTCTTCGCTCATGTATCACCTGTATTAGAACAGTAATTTCCTCCTGCTTTTTCCTGCTTTCCTTTAGTATGTTGTTAACATTGCAGTACTAATTAGACTTTTTAAAAATCTAAGATCATATCACCTTTAGATTCACTTCCCAGTCCTCTCACAGTTAAAGCCCGAGTGCTAAAAATAGTTTACAAGGCACTGCACATCAGTTTCTTCTTAATCTTTCTCACTGGCCTCAGAACCTTTGCCTTGCCTGAACCTCATACATACATACATGCATCCACTTTGCTGCCTTGATCTCAAATCTTTAATATAACATCATAGTCTTGCCTTGATTACTTTATCATTATTTTGGTTTATAAACATAAATGAATTTCTCACAGTTCTGGAGATGAGATGTCTGACTGCCTTCTGTCTTCACATGGTGGAAAAAAACCCTTGTGTCATTGATGGCAAACCTTTAGAGCTTTTGGTGATTATAAATAGCTGGCTGTGGCACATATGCCAAAGGTTTGCCACCACTGCCTTATACTTTTTTTTACCCTCTCAGTAGTAGAGATTAAACCTAGGGTCTTGTACATGCTAGGCAGGCCCTCTACCACTAAGCTCTATCCTTACCCCTTACTTGAAGACAAAGTCTTGTTAAGTTGCCCAGACTGACCTTGAACTTGCACTTGTTCCTCTCAACTTCCTAACTGGGGTTGTAGGCATCTGCCACTGTACCTGTCTCTTACTACTTCTTAAAGATCCAGTTTTGGAGGGCCAGTACCTACTTAGGCAGATATTCAGTCCTCATGCCAGCCCTGCCCCTGGGGTGCACTGAGATGGCAGTTGAGACTGAGCATGGTGGTGCATGCCTGTAATCCCAGCACTTGGGAGCCTGAAAACAGGAGGATCACTACAAATCCAGTCTGTGTAGTGAGACCCTGTAGACCCTGTACTAAATAGGTTTTTTTAAAAATCAGTTTTGGAAGCTCTGAAGTACAGACAAAAAAAGTTGAACATAAGTGTAATACTAACATCAATCCTAACAAAATAATTATTTAACATGTAGTAGCTAGTCCTGTTTAGATGTACTCAGTTGTCCTGAGGCACTCTTTTTTGTATTTTGTGCAGGGTCTCACTATGCAGCTCAAACATGTAGTAATCCTGTTTTCAGCCTCCCCAGTGCTGGGATAATAGGCATGTGCCGGGTCGGTCGGTCTTTTTTTTCAAGTCAGTATTCTAACTTGACAAATTACATTCGATTGATGCGACCAATCAAATCTCTCTCCACCGTGGACAACAAACATAGAGACCATGTCCAATTTGATTGCATAGGCCAGTCACAATTGTGGCCCAGGATTTTTTTAGTGCTTTGGCAGTTTAAAAAACTGGTTCTATATGTACAGGTAATGATTTAACTTCCTTACTTAGAAAAATAAAAGGAATACCCTTTATTAAAGATGTCAGCAGTTTGGTATTATTTTTATTTATTTTAATAAGGTACTACTTATAATAGGTGCCAGAACTTTAGATTGGGGGATAATTTCTATATATTTTTCATTCATGTAATTATCACTTTTTTTTCTTTTTCTGTTTTTCTCTGCAGGCCTCAGCTGTTGAAGAATGCTCTGCAGAGAGCAGTAGAGAGAGGCCAGTTAGAACAAATAACTGGCAAAGGTGCATCGGGGACATTCCAGGTTAGAGGCCAAATCTTGATTATAGACAAGTGATTCTTAAAACTTGGGATTGGGCCGGCGACATAGCTTAATGAACTAAGTGCCTGCTTAGGCAAGCTCAGGAACCAAGATTTGATCCCTAGCACCACATGCCATGCTGGCCCTGCTCCCAGGTACGCTGAGCTGCAACTGAGGCCGGGCATGGTGGCACACACCTATAATTGCAGCACTGAGGGGCTTGCAAACAGAAGGATCACTGTGAGTCTGAGCTATGCAGTGAGGCCCTGCACCAGATACACGTTAAAAAAAAAAACCTTGGGGTTTCAGGACCTGCTTTGTAATCTAAAAATGTATTGAGGACCCCAAATGATAAATACGGGGTTTTTTTGTTTTTGTTTTTGTAGATAGATTTTTAACGGCCTTGCTGAATTATAATTTGCAAACTTAATATATGCTTAATCTGAGTTAAAATTTATAATATAGTGAATTTTTTTTTTCTTTTTTTTTGTGGAACCAGGGATTGAACTTGGGACCTTGCGCTTGCCAGGGAAGCACTTATTCCACTGAGCCATCTCCTTGGCCCCAATATAGTGAATTTTTAATAACGTCACTGTTACATAGCTATCACCACAGTTCTATTTTAGAGCATTCCCATTGCTAAAAAAAAAAAATCCCCTGTGCTGTGTAGGGGTGTGCACACCTGTAATCATAGCTACTTGGGATCCCAAAGGAGGAGGATACCAGCCTTGGCAGCTTAGTAAGACCTGTCTCAAAATGAAAAGGGCTCAGGGTGTAGTTTCGCTCATGCTAAAGTAGTTTCCTAGCATGTACAGGACCTTGGGTTCAATCCTAAGGTGAGTCCCTTAGGACCAGTGGGGAGTCCCTTGTCATAGACTGTGAGTTGGAAAGATTTTTCCTTTTCATAGATTTATTAAGGGAATAATGGGTTACTGTTTTGTTTTGTTTTTCCCTCCAATCAGATTTTATTGGTACTTTCTTCTTTCTGTACCAGGAATCAGTACACATAATGATCACATTTATCATAGAGAATTTCTACCTGTATATAATATAACTTGATTTTTTTTCCTAGTCCTCTACTCTCCTTTCAACCTCTCTCTTCTCCTCCACATTTACAAAAGCTGTTTCCATTTTTCCCCTTTCTCATTTTCTTTTTTTCCCCCTTTTTACTCTTTCCTTTTCTCCTTCCCTACTCTCATTCCTCATTTGAACATTTTCTTCCTGTTTCATAATATCTTTTGTACATTTTACTCCTTATTTACACTTTCATTTCTCACAATGTGGCATTTGCACACATGTGATTTATTTCACTTATCCATTCACCAGCTGATGGGCTCTTTCTAACATTTTGCTAGTACCCTCTGTCCCACTATAAACATGAGTTTGCATATATCACTGTAATACACCTTTAATTGTTTTGGGAAGATACTGAGAAGGATATAGTATAGCTGGGTTAAATGAGACATCTAGTCCTAGTTCTTTGAGGAATTTTCACACTGATTTCCACAGTGGTTGCACCAGTCTACACTCCAGCAACAGTGGAGAAGGGTTTCTTTTACTCCACAGCCCTGCCAGCATTTGTTATTGGTTGATTTTTTTTTTTAATTAATTAATTTATTTATTTTGTGTGTGTGTGTATGTGTGTGTATGTGTGGCCAGCTCAGCCCACCAGGGGGCGGGCTGGCTGGCATGTGGTGCTGGGTGATTGAACCTTGGTCCCTGGGCTTCGCTAACCTTGTTCTAAGTAGGTGCTTTAGACCACTGAGCCATCTCACCAGCCCCTGATTTCTTGATAATAGCCATTTTTTCTAGGTTGAGCTGAAATCTCAGTGTTGTTTTAATTTGCATCTCTTAAATGACCAGTGATACTGAACTTTTTCTATGTATTATATTTGCTGTTTGTACTTCATCTGAGAAGTGTGTATTCATCTCAGATGCCCATTTTTGGATTGAGTCTTTACATTTTGCAGGTCTGGTTTTTTTTTTTTTTTTTTTTTGAGTTCTTTATATATTCTAGATAGTCCTTAGAGGAACAGCTAGCAAAAATTTTTCCCCACGCTGTGGGTTGGATGATTTTCTTAGTATCTTTTGAGCACAGACTTAATTCTGGGACTTAATTTTGATGAAGTCTCTTTTCAGTTAGTTTTTTAAATGTGGAGTCATTGGTCTGCTGCCTGATGTGGGGCCACAAAAGTGTACTCATATTTTCAGTTTTATTCCTTTGAGTTTTGTGCTCTATATTGAGTTTTGCTTATATTATGTGCTCTATATGTTATGCGCTCTATAATACGTGCTAATATTATATGCTCTCTATTGAGTTTTGCTTATATTATGACGTAAGGATATACTGTATCATCTTTTTGCATGTAGATATCAGTAGTTTTCCCAGCACCATGTATTGAAAGACTCTCTCTTCCTCATTGAATTGTCTTGACATCTTGTCACACATCAGTTTATTATAAAGGGTTTATTTTTGGACCCTTCAACTCTGTTCTGTTGGTCTACATGGAAATCCTTAATGTCAGCACATCACATTGTCTTGATGACTGTATCATTATAGTGAGCTTTGAAATTTGGGGTTGTGAGTCCTCTTTTAACTTTTTAATGAGTGTTTAGACTTCAGTCCTGTGCATTTTTTGTTGTAAATCTTTTAAGACCCCCATCTGGGAGTAAGAGAAGCTGAAATTTTTGTAGGAATACATTGAATCTGTAGCTCAATTTGGAGAGACCTGTTATCTTTTACTTTTTTTTTTTTTTTTTTTTTTTTTTTTTTTGGTGGAACCGGGGATTGAACTCAGGCCCTTGCGCTTGCCAGGGAAGCACTTATTCCACTGAGCCATCTCCCCAGCCCCATCTTTTACTTTCTATCAAATTTTTCTACCCATGAATATCAAACATCTCTTTAGTTATGCCATCTCTTAGTGTTTTAAGGTTTTCAGTCTACATGTATTGAATTTCTTCTCTTACATTTATTCCTGTTTTATTCTTCATGCTGTAATGAATTGAATTGGTTTCTTATTTTCATTTTCAGGTTGTTCCTGCTAACTTGTAGAAATACTAGTTTGGTTTGTCAGTTAATCTTGTGTCCTGTTACTTTTTTATTTTTTGGTAACAGGGTCTCGTTATCTAATTCAGGCTAGACTTGAACTCACTATTTAGCAGAGGCTGGTCTCAAACTTGTGATCCTCCTGCTTTAGTGCTGGGATTAAAGGTATGCAGCCCACCACGCCCAGCTGTCCTGTCACTTTGGTGAATAAATACATTTACTTGTTCATTATCTGTCTTGAAAGACAATTGTATTTCTTCTTTCTCCACCTGGATATTTTTGCTTCTTTTCTTTATCTCATTGCTGTAGATAGAACCCTTAGGCGTATGAGAGCACACATCTTTGCCTTGTTTCCTATCTTAAAGAGAAAGCATTCTGTCTTGCACCATTAAGCTAGCTTCAGGTTTTTGTTTTTTTTAATTCCTGAAGTACTGGCAATTAAAATTGGGCCTTTACCCTGAACTACATTCCTAACCCTTTTTATATCTATATATTTTATTATTATTTTTATTATTTATTTATTCATTTATTTTGTGTGTGGCCAACTCAGCCCACCAGGGGGCTGGGCTGGCTGACATGTGGTGCTGGAGGATTGAACCGCTGTCCCTGTGCTTTGCTTAGCTTAGCTTGTTCTAAGCAGGTGCTGTAGACCACTGAGCCATCTCACCAGCCCCATTATATTTTATTTTGAAACAGGATCTCACTAAGCTGCCTAGGCTGTGCTCTTAAGTTATGATCCTCTTACCTCAACTTCTCAGAGTGCTAGAATTATAGCCTTGAACCATCATGCCCAATTTAGCTGTGGATTTTTCATAGATCTGTATTGTCAGTTTGAGAAAGTTCCCTTGTGTAGTACTAGTTTATTGGGTATTTTTTTTCTGCCCCCCCCCCCTTTATTGGGAATTTTATATTACTGGTTTTGGGGAGGGTTTTTTTTGTTTTTGTTTTTTAATCATAAATGGCTGTTGGATTTGTAAAATACTTCTACTGATGTGGTTGTGTTTTGAGGGTGTTGTTTTTGTTTGTTAATATGGTACTTTTTTTGTTTGTTTGTTTTTTGTTTTTTTTAAAGTCTGAGACAGGGTCTCACTGTGCATTTCAGACTGGCCTTCACTTTGTAGCCCAGGCTGGCCTCAAACTTGCAGCAGTCCTCCTGCCTCAGCCCTCCCAAGTGCTAGGATTACAGGCATGTGCCACCACACCTGACATTGTTTTGGGAGGAGGGAGTACCAGGAATCAGATCCAGGACCTTGTGCTTGCCAGGCAGGCATTGTACTACTGAACTATATCCCTGGCAGTACACTCATTTTTATGGTAATCCCTTAAAGTTTAGTTACTACATGAAACTTGAAACCATATCAGTGAGCTTCTTCTATTCTTTACCTTAAAATTGATTTGTCTGTCTTGATGTTTGAATGGATCTTTTAACCAAGCATACATTGGTTTTTTGAAAAGCAGTGGCTTACTGAATTCTGCACAATGCTTAAAAGTATTGTCATCTCATCATATGGTAACAAAATTACACAGCCATTGGTATCAGCTGCTGATTTCATAAGAATGATTGTTGAATATTACAGGGTATCATTGTCATAGTGGTAGATAGGAAAGTTTTCCAGAATTTAAATTTTTATTTGAAAGGTTGACCTTTGCCAGTGGTGACAAATACTGTTTTTGGTTTTGGTTTTTTTCTTGGAGTGAGAGGCTTACTTAATTCATTTTCAAGGTCATGTTTACCTGATCTCCCAAGTCCAAATAACCGTAGTTGATCTATCAGTTGTTCCTTCAAGTAAAAAGGAAATTCCATAAAAATCTGACTAATTCAGTTCACAACTGTAATCACACAGGCAAGTTTTCTTAAGAACACAATTGTACCTTTGTATGTAGCAGATTTGTTCAGTGCACCTTCCCATTTCCTCCCATGAATAGTTAAGAGACATATATATTCAAGTTGAGATTTAAAAACAATTGTTTTGTACTTCATCAAGAGCTTTTTTCCTCCCCGGTACTGGGGATTGATCCCAGGGACTTCACACTGAGCTACATCCCCAGCCATTTTTCTTTTTTATTTTTACATTGAGTTCCTCAGTGTTGCCCAGACTGGGCTTAAATTTATTGTGATAATCTTGTGTCAGCCTCCCAGAGTGCTGGGATTGCAGGTGTGTGCCACCATTTCCAGCTTCAGAGCTGTTCTTAAGTAAAATAAGTTTCTTGTTTTAAACCATAAGTATGTGATAGAGAAGAAAACAAGTGAACATTTTTGTGCCTCCACCTTAATTTGTGGTAAGATGGCAACAGTTTTACCAAACATTGATTTTTTTCACCATCAGTGCAAATGTCAGCACAGTACAAGGTAGCTCACATGTTCCTTTCATTATGAAAATAGTTTTGACTTTTAGATCCTCTGAAAGGGTCTCAAGAACCTCCAGGTATGTACTTTCGAACCACTCTTTAAGAACCAGCATCTACATTACAACATTCTTTTCTATCCCTGTTTTTCTTATTGGTGCTAATCTTTGTTCTTCAGTTTTTCAGCTTTCGAATATGCTGTGTAATGTTTCTATTATATGTTATCCTAAATACTTATGAAATCTTTCCTTTGTTATTTTCCTTATAGTATTAAGAATGCTATTTCTTATAATAACTATTTGATTTTTTAGGTGCAATAAAATAAAATATTTTCCAAAGTCTTAGTCTATTGGGGATTTATCAAGTTAACCTGCTCATTGGGATGGAACTGTGCATATCTTTTGAGTTAGGTTGGCTGTTTGGTTGCTGTTCTAAGATAGAGGAGTAGATGGAAAAAAACCTTTGGAGGGTTAAGACTCCTCAGTTAGATTGACTACCTGGTGAATGAGAAGAGAAAGTCCCTAACCTGACAATTTATTGTAAAACATATCTGTGCTAATGCAGGAACTCCGACCCACCTGGTGCAGAGGAGTCTTGTCTTGAGCTGCTTTGGGAGTGTTGTCTTGATGCTTTTCTCTTCCTCCTTGGAAAACAGCTGAAGAAATCAGGGGAGAAACCCCTGCTTGGTGGAAGCCCAATGGAATATGCAATCTTGTCTGCCATTGCTGCCATGAATGAGCCGAAGACATGCTCCACCACTGCTCTGAAGAAGTATGTCCTGGAGAATCACCCAGGGACCAATTCTAATTATCAAAGTAAGAGTCAGAGTTGTGTGCCTTTCACCAGGATTAGGGGACTTTTCTTGTGACAATACCTTAGTGATCATGCTACTGATGCATTAACCACTGACTGTATGAAAACTAAACAAGAATAGAGAGAGGACTGGTGAGATGGCTCAGTGGTCTAAAGCACCTACTTAGAACAAGCTTAGCAAAGCACAGGGACCGCGGTTCAATCCCCCAGCACCACATGCCAGCCAGCCCCGCCCCCTGGTGGGCTGAGCTGGCCACACACACACACACACACACACACACACACAAATAAATTAAAAAAAAAAAAAAAGAATAGAATAGCTTTACAGACTTGCCATTTATAAAAAAAAAGAAAAGAAAAAAGAAAGCCAGGCATAATGACTTACTATAATCCCAGCCCTCTGGAATACTGAAGCAAGTAGGATTGTGAGTTCAAACCCAGCCTGGGCAACTTAGACCCTGTGTCAAAAATAAAAGCAGCTAGGTCAGAATATGTTAGGTCCCCTAGTTTTGCAGGTTTTGTTTTTGTTTTGAGACAGGATCTCACTATGCAGTTCAGGCTGGCCTCATACTCACAGCTATCCCCCTACCTCAGCCTCCCTAGTGCTATCCAAGTTAGAATTTAATTGGTACATTTTAATACACATAATGATCACATTCATCATAGAAAATTTGTATCTGTACATGATATAACTTGTTTCTTTGTGTCAGATTCCCTTACTGTCCTTTCAGTGTTTCCTCCATTACCCATTTATAAATTATGTTTTGTTTCCATTTTTCTTCTCATTTTTTTTTT